CATATTCACAAAAAGGTTTGCATTATTGACTTCTCAAAAAGGCTCCTCCTATTTTCCATTTTGAAGGGTATTATTGGTATCGTGTCACGGTCTGGTACGCTCACATATGAGGCAGTACATCAGACGACGGCCGTTGGTCTCGGTCAAACGCTGGGTATAGGAATAGGAGGCGATCCTTTCAATGGCACGAACTTCGTCGACTGCCTTACTATTTTCCTAGAAGATCCTCATACGAAAGGTATCACCTTTATTTTTGTTTGTTTTGCTTTCCTTGTACATTTCTATGTCAATATAACAGTTTGAAATTTCGGGAGCTGCGATACAATTAACACAAAAATGGTATTTGAGTGATTACGCTTTGTTCCAGGAATAATTCTGATTGGAGAAATCGGTGGTTCTGCAGAGGAAGAAGCTGCAGCATTCTTGAAAGCAAATAATGTCGTAAGTGTCTTTCTGTCGAAGGTTATTATAAGATAAAATAGTGGAAGCACTGAACGCTTCGAAGGTGCTAGGCTTACAGTCCCGAAAAGGGCCATACTTTCGGGCGCTACACCGACCGATAGGTAAGCCATTGGTGGCGTGGTATTTGAGTTAAAGCACTGACATGCTTTTCATTCCGCTAGGCAGGGAATACCAGTGTAAGGGAGGTTGAGTGGTAGCGCAGTCTTGCCTCTGCTTATTCACGGCAGGATCAGCTACCATTGTCAACCCATCCTTCTGTCGTTTCAACAGGCGATGGACCCTAGGTCGATTGGGCAACTTATACTTGTGATGAGACACCGAGCGCTAGATGTGTTTTCGGTCCCTGATCTCGTATCCGTCATCTACTTGTTCTTAGCGTTCCTGTTAGAAGTGGGATGGAATTTTTTCTTCTGGTGTAGCGCAGTCAAGAGCGGAGGTAGCACATCTCATAATTCTCTCTGTGTCTGGACAATGTAACAGCGGGATTGCTGGACTGGCCTCTGTGAATTGTATCCAGTTGCGTTTTTCTTTGGTTTTTTCTGGACTGGCTTGATTCATGGTCTTTACATCACTGCTCGATTGATTGACTTTTGATGAGTTCAGAAACGTTCTCGTTGAACTTTCTGACTTTGACTTCTTGGCATAATTTACCCGCAACTGCTACACTTTTTCGATTTTAGGGTTTCGAGATCTAGAATTGGGTAGAAAATTGCCTCCGGAAGTAGTGCCATAATCCTTGGAGAAGAGGCATGCAG